ACACACACACACACACACACACACACACGTTTGTTTTTGTCTCTCTGTGGGGTCTTTCCTTTGTTTTTCTACTGAGCTAATGATGTTTTCTATCTCCTAAGCCTCACACAAACCTGAACTTTGATTCACAGCAGAAGGTGAAACTTCTGGGAAAACTAGTTAAGGTAGTTAGTTTTCACCATTTTAATGATGACAAGATTTCAAGAGTATTGAAACTCTAAAGGTTTGACACTCACATAAGCGCTGATTTACCGATCAATAACTCCAGAAAAAAGGTTGAAAAGCTTTTTCAATACAGAGAAAGAAGAAATCGATATATCATTAGGATTTGTAGCGCCATCGCTCGTGTTAAAATTATTTAGACTTTCAGAGAAACTGACAAAACAAAAGTCCCTGTTGCTTTTTAGTTTGAAATATAAAAGAACATTTACAACTTTTGATTCTCTAGTTCTGTTCATACATTTCTACCCAGAAACCAAAACATCGATCTGATCTGAAACTGATAAGGAAACCACTTTATTAACATCGAAAGAAACTCTAAAATAACAAACAGTCAAAAATAATATAAGAAGAAATCGAAATGGGTTTTCACCATTTTAATGATGACAAGATTTCAAGAGTATTGAAACTCTAAAGGTTTGACACTCACATAAGCGCTGATTTACCGATCAATAACTCCAGAAAAAAGGTTGAAAAGCTTTTTCAATACAGAGAAAGAAGAAATCGATATATCATTAGGATTTGTAGCGCCATCGCTCGTGTTAAAATTATTTAGACTTTCAGAGAAACTGACAAAACAAAAGTCCCTGTTGCTTTTTACAGTTTGAAATATAAAAGAACATTTACAACTTTTGATTCTCTAGTTCTGTTCATACAGTTCTACCCAGAAACCAAAACATCGATCTGATCTGAAACTGATAAGGAAACCACTTTATTAACATCGAAAGAAACTCTAAAATAACAAACAGTCAAAAATAATATAAGAAGAAATCGAAATGGTTGTGAACCTGAAATGCTGTAACGAATCAGTGTCTCTCACTCAAGGTTTGTTAATCAGGTGCATCTCTGATATAAAACTAGCTAAACCAGTTTAGATCAAACTGTCGGTCTCTCTCTGTCCAACGATTCAGATTATTGCTATTCATAATTCATGAGATGCATATGGATTTCACTTGAAAATAAATGTTTCACTTACCTCCTGCCTGAGAAATGAGATCCTGCTGTGTGCGTGCGTGCGCGTGCGTGTGCGTGAGAGTGTGTGTGTGTGTGT